GCAAATCTGACTGCATGAAGCCCCCCCCCCCAACCTTCCCTTTTAATTTACTGTTTATGTTAGTGGATTGTATTATTTATGTTTATTTTATTATTTTATTTCTTTAAGTGCAGCTGTGGGTGTTTATGAATATGTGTATGTGCGTATATACATATATATTATGTGCTTGCACAGTATATGTACTGCAAGGACATTTGTATTTGTGGTACAAATGTACAAATGTAATTCAATTCAATTGTATGATTACACATCTGCATTTTCATGTGCCCTGCATTGTTTTGGTATAAGTGAAAATCAATAAAGAAAGGTGAAATAAAAAAAAAAAAGAATAAAAAAAAAGGTTTGCCTCCCGAAGCGCAAATGTCAAACTCCGCCTATGACTTTACTCCACTACAATTTGTTAGCCAATGCTGTACTTCTTTTACTCCACTTTATTGAGAGCTTTAGTAACAAACGACTTTACAGATTCAGTTCCTTAGCAAATATATAAATAAACAATGGCATGAAATTATAGGTTGAGATATTCAGTAGAAGTATAGCCTACCAACAAAATGTAAATAAGTGTAATCTTAATTAGCGTTACCATATTAAAGCAACAATAATCACAATCGAGTAAATTCATATTTATGATTCTGCAATGAGCCACCACAATAGCGAGTACTTATATATTTGCCTATTTGGGTATTTTGATGCCAATACTTTTCATAAGTAGGATGTTAAATGCAGGACATTCACTTGTTAGCCTACATAGTATTTTTACATTTAAATCCAGCTACTTTTAAACAAGTTAAAATCTTAAGTAGGTAGGCCTACTACTTCCAACCATGATTATTCCTTTAATACTTAGGCTATACCTGGGCCGTGTCTCAATTCAGGGGCTGCACCCTTCGGAGTACGCAGCCTACGCGGTCCACGGAGGACCCAGCCCACGTAGGCCGGGTAGGCTGGACCGAGCGGCCTACGAAATGAGACAGTCTAGCCTACGGAGTGCTTCGTATTTACGTCACGTGATACGCGCTGTTCAGTTGCGTTGCTCCAGCAGCCTGATGGCAAATTAGTTTACAAGCTAACTCAGCTGAAAAGGATCCAGAAACTTGACTTTTACTGTTACATTTTGGAGATCACCGTCGGTGATTAATTAAAGAGGACCATGGCCAGGTAAATAAGATGAAGCTGTTCATTTAGCCCCCAGTAATGTTACATTAGTAAGTTAACAAGTAAATTATATATAGCTGATGTAATTTAATCATATTATTTCATATTTAAAATAAGTAATACTTTTTCTGTACTAATAAAACAATATGTTTTTTAAAGGAACAAAAGCATGTTGTATAGATTGATTCTTAACAATATTAGTGTTCTAATCTTAATAGCTGTGATCATAACAGTTTATATTCTCCTTCTTCTCCTAAACCTGCCCAGATGATGTCCCACTGACCCCAGGTCAGCACCTCCAGGTCCAGCACCACCGTGACCCCCGCTCTGCTGAAATACACAATTAAACATGTTCTATGACCAATTTTTTTAATTAATAAAATTAAACTGAAGACAGTTTAATGACCTAGAGATATCCTATTATTCCACTGATTATGTACACATGTTGTAAATAATGGTTAAAACCTCAGTAAATGAAATAAACAATGTGTTTAACAATTACAATGTAATATTGTATTTTCATCTTATCACAAAGTAGAGGTAATAATATATCCATCCTCTATCTGCAGCTTCATGTCTTCTATTATTATAACTTTCATCATTGAGACAGAGGAAATCAATCATGTTATTTAACATCACCGACAGTAACGGCCCGTCCACACTACAGCTTCAAAAAAAGCTTGGAGCTGGGCGCGTCTGAAGCTCGACCAACAACCAATCACATGAATCTCCCGCCCCTGACACACAAGCAGCGGTTTGATTGGCTAGAGCTTGTACTGGCATGATTTGATTGGCTGGCGCTGGCTACTCAACTTCTGACGCCGGAGACGGACCGCTATGCTACCCACAATTCCGTTCGGCGAAAAGCGAGGCAACGTGACGTCACCCCATTCAAAGTGAATGGGCAGACGCGTTGGAAACCGTTTTTGAAGCTGTCGAAGCTGTAGTGTGGGCGGGCCGTTACACAAATATCAGCAAAAGTGTGTTTATCAAGTTGTTTATTTGTATTATATGTGCAGCAAGTATATAAAAGCAGCTGTTTGGGGAATCAGACAGACTCAAGCTATAATCGTTAAATATCTATTAAAAGAAAGGACACATACAAAATCAAATTCTGAAAGTAACACACAAGTCTGTAGGACGGCAGTAAGCAGAAGTCTGGGTGGAGGATGTTCCTGATCGCCGTTTTGCTTTCTCCAGCACCACGAGAGGTCCAGGTGGATGGCAGCTCTGTCCTGATGATCCGCGGGGGTTAGAATTGTCCTAATTACAGAGAAAAACAAGAGAAAAAGAAAAAAGTTAATTAATCATATTAAACACAGGGTTGCAAAAGTATTATTGCAAAATGTAACTAAGCATTTCAGACAAACAATCCCTAAAGGATCATTTAAAATGATGTACTGTTCTGGTTTTTAAAAAACTAAAAGAGAAGAAATGACAGTCACACGTGCATCCCTTTGACAGCACAAACTAACATCAAGCTAAAGGATGCTGTCTATTTGTGATTGTCTTATTATTATTATTATGGGATTAGGATAAATTAAATACACTTTAACCTAAATAAAAGATGATCAAATCTGGTGGAAATATTTAAATTAGGCTTTTCTTTTAGCCCTACATCAAAGCAGCATGAGCTGAATAAAAAGGTTGTAAAGTTTAATAAACAGTAAAACATTGGAACATGTCAGAGAAATAAATAAAGCTAACAGCAGCTACATGTCAGGGTAGCATTTTATAAATCCCACCGTACTGTAGGCTATACCGGTCTAAATGTTTTCACTTTGGTCTATTTATGTAATATAAAGTATAACTTATCTATAACAGAGCCAAGATCTCTGTATGACTTTAGTAAACTTCTGAATTTAATTACAAATAAGTGTAAGCAACAGTACTGCGGTCAAGCCAGCCTCCACTCGGGAAAACCTAGTCAAACCAGCCCGCACGTGATATTGCGGTGCGCGAATATCCTATGCATTAGAGTCCTGGAAACACTGCATTCAAAATACACCAAAATAACATACCAAACATATTAAATTAAGAAATATGTACTATATAATGTGATAAATAATTATTTAAAACAAACTACGTATAACTACCACATTATAAATGAGTGAATGTCACTTAAGGAGTTTTCAAGTTTCAAAATAAAAGACCTTTGAAATATCTATTGTATGAGCTATCATCCCTCTGTTTTTAGATGAGAATACAACTAAAACTGTCCAGTATCAAAGACTCATTTCACTTCAGGGTGATAGCAGGACACCCCATCTAGTCACTTATAAAAAATCAGGACATTCTGATGTACAGTTTCAAAATAAAAGACCTTTGAAGTCTCATATATGAGCTATCATCCCTCTGTGTTTAGATGAGAATAAAACAAAAACGGTCCAGTATCAAAGACTCATTTCACTTCAGGGTGATAGCAGGACACCCCATCTAGTCACTCAGAAAAAATCAGGACATTCTGATGTAAAGTTTCAAAATAAAATACCTTTGAAGTCTCATATATGAGCTATCATCCCTCTGTGTTTAGATGAGAATTGAAGAATACATAGGCTCATTTTTCCATCAAAAATATTAATATAAAAATATTTAGAGTGTTAAAATACAATAAAAAGAGGTGTGTCCTATGCAGCCAGTGTAGTTCTTTGACCCAGCATTGATTTTGAGTCATTAGGTCACATGACCTGGAAGGTATTGAAGAAATAAGCACATTTTTCCATCAAATGAATAATATAAAATATTTAAAGTATTAAAATGCAATAAAAAGAGGTGTGTCCTATTCAGCCAGTGTAGTTCTTTGACCCAACATTGATTTTGAGCGAATCGGTCACATGACCTGGAAGCTATTGAAGAAATAAGCTCATTGTTCCATCAAAATAATAATATAAAAATATTTAGAGTGTTAAAATGCAATACAAAGAGGTGTGTCCTATGCAGCCAGTGTAGTTCTTTGACCCAACATTGATTTTGAGTGATTAGGTCACATGACCTGGAAGGTATTGAAGAAATAAGCACATTTTTCCATCAAAATATTAATATAAAATATGTAAAGTATTAAAATGCAATAAAAAGAGGTGTGTCCTATGCAGCCAGTGTAGTTCTTTGACCCAGCATTGATGTCGAGTCATTAGGTCACATGACCTGGAAGGTATTGAAGAAATAAGCAAATGTTTCCATCAAAAATATTAATAAAACGTATTTAAAGTATTCAAATGCAATACAAAGAGGTGTGTTCAATAAATGTATGCTCTAGAGTGAATTTGCTTCACATTCACACGATCGAGAAGCTGTCGATTTATTAAAAAGAACATTTTTCTTGTCTAATTGTAAAAGCCATTTGTTGATGGTCCCTAAGTGAAAGCCTCGTTTCGCGGAGAAGATCTCCCCGTTAAACTGACGCTGCTGGCGGGTCCGCGAATGTCCGTCGAATATCCAACCTAAAACTAAATTCACCGCGGTGGTAAACTTTAGCCTATACATTTTAAGAATGGCGTTTATCTTTTTTGAGAATGAGTTCTTATTTGATTTTTTTTTTTTGGGTCTACAACAGATGATACACATGTTTGTGTCAGTAAATGTGCACTAACAGAGGCGGGGGTGTGTGTGGAAATAACGGGGACAGAGCTGGCCCTGCTGTCAGACGATCAGCTGTGCAGCGTCATCACAAACGGACGTCGCTTCACGTGACACTCCGGAGGAAAGGACGTCCCATTGCTCTTAAAACTCATTTCCCTGCTTCTCGTGGTTTCCTTTCTCCATGCTTCCCTGGTGGGAGGGACTAGTCGCAGGGAAACGACGCAAGTGAGGGACGCAAGGAATCAATTTAACCGAAGTGAGAAGGGCCCTTCATCGGAGGATGGTCTGGTGATTCCTCGGTTATCGCTCCTCGCTCCTCCGGCAGAAATAAGAGCCATGGGACGGTACTCAAGATGGCGCAGACAAATCAACTTCTGGTGATACCGAGGAAATTAAAATAGTCGACCTGAGACGCAGCCAAGGCCCTGGTGTTCCTCGACAGCATATTTTAACTCTACTGCATCACATTAAGAGGGTATCATTAGAATTACTCTAGCGCCTTCTGGTGTCCATTTGGTGGAATAACACTTAGTTCGTGTCACCCATAGACTGGTGTCACCTCACATGACCCGGTTTAATGTAGCCTTCCAGATACCCCCAGAGACTGGCGACTCTGACCTCCGAGTGAACCTTAGCAGCTTCCAGGCAGCTTCAGACAGACGTGAAGGGGTAAGGGACAGGGCAGGAGATATTAGGTATAATTCTAATGAGAACAGGACTATGAGAGATATCCGACATGCTGGACACTGGAGCAGTTAGCGGAAGATGGCAGCACTGGATGTAAGCTACCTTTTAAAAATCACAGAAGAAAAAGAAGACATGGCGTCTACGCCACATATCAACACCACAGAGCAGTAGACTCACCACACACACCATCATTTTTGGCTATCCGAAACCAGTTTTTTTTGTACATTAATAACAGACAATATTTAATATTGGATTTGCTGAACAACAACATAAGCATTACGCCGGCAAAATATGCAAAAGGTAGGTGTAAAGAGAAGCTCCTGGTGTAATAGTCTCTGTTATGTTAGCTCTTATCTTTAATGCTAGCCTTATTAGCTCGCAGCTGACATATTGAGATGAATTATCCGACTCTTTGCAAGCTATGTTGATGTGTTAGCTTATCTGTGTCTTTTTATCTCCAGACAGACGTTTACGTCGTTCTCGGGACCTGAGACTGAACTTAACCTTACCGACAATGCGCATGGCATTGAATTCCCAAAACACAGTGACATTACTGTAGAAACTGTACTGTCTTAACAGTTATTTAACGCAACAGGAACTGTTTTAAAGTCAAATTTAGTTAGGCTTTGCTCTGGCACGCCTTAAATAAGGAAATGTAATGTCAGTAGATTACAATTCAGAGTATGCTGGAGGTTTTGAGTCATGATTATGCCAACAGTTTTGGGAGGACTCTGGGTAGCTGAGGAAACAGGGACGTAGCTCAGCAGAGCCCCTGTGGGGTTAAGCATATATAACGTATACACTTTAAATAGAAAATAGGAAAGTGTTACTTTTTCCCCTGAAACGTTAGTTCCATTAAATGCAAAACCTGACTTCATTCGCTCAAATGTGTAATTTTTAAAGCCATTAACAAGTAGAGACTCCTTTTTTCACATTTACACCAAAAACGTCTGAAGTTGAAACTAAAATGTAACTTGTTCCAATGAATCCCTGATTCATCTAAACAGCATGTCTTTCCCACATCTACACTTAAAATGAAAATGATTTAATGTGACCATTTGTAGTCATCTCCTGGAAGCATTACTTCCCAGCACAGCGCTAGCTAAAACCTTGCATCAACTCAAACCACATGACAGTGATTATCCAAAGCAGACGTTTCGATTCGAAGGCACACCATGTGCAGATGAGCCAGCTTATCCGTTAGCTCAGTGTTTCTCAAACTTTTTCATACCAAGGACCACTTAACCAATAAAAAAACTATCGCGGACCACCTAACTCCACAAATATCCAAAATCACATCGTTTTTCTAGAACAGATTACAAATCGCCTGAAAATGGTACAAACAAGTGGCAACATGTTTGATGAAGGTGATGCGCTGGGCTATATCATGGAATCGAAAGTGAAACTTTCTCGCTCCATTGCGGAGATATTCCCGCGAGAGTGTGGAAAACTTAAATACATTTATTTATTTCAAATGTGAAATTTTACCAATATGACCACTAGGGGGCGCTCATGGACCACCAGTGGTCCGCGGACCACACTTTGAGAGGCACTGCGTTATCTGTTATCCACCTTAAACTGTTGAATTCTTCCAAACTCTTGATGTTCTTTTCAAACCTGGCTCCTTTTGAAACAACAAGAGAAAAAGCCCACTAATAAAAAGGTAATCCACCAAAGGGCTACGCTTGGACCGTTACTTAACGTGTGATGTCTCTAAAGCTAAGGAAGCTTTTATCTTAATATTCTCCCTGATGATTGACATTAGGGTTTATTTTTTAACTGGTTGTTATATATTTAAGTATTGCCAAAAGGGATGAAACAAAACCACATTATGCTGATTTGCAGATGCCCGGTCAACTTGACAGCTTGAAGCCCAGAAAGAGGAAGAGCAGCTCCAGAAAGGTTTGTGTTAATATGTATCAGCAAGAGCAGACTCTATAAAGAACAGATACAGACAGCAGTTATCTTTATATTGCTTTCTTCAAACTACTTGGAAATGGACCATGTTTGACAAACTGAACAATTGCGCAGGGCTGCACGATTTAGACAAAAGTACCTTATTGAGATTATATTATTGAGGGAATGTTCATTGTTGAATGAAATGATAACATATATTATGATATGATACAATATTATTATTGAGTATCTGTACTAACCTAATTTGTTTTGGTAAGTCTATAATACCATGTGTAGGCCTTGATATCTCTGCAGCTCTACCATTCTACATTTCAAATTGTATTTGAACACATTTACCCTTTTATATTGCACTATTCCAGATTGCGGTTTTGATAACATTTCAATTAATTGTGCAGCCCTTGTCTTCCGTCCTTATGGGTGTTGAATATAGTATATTATAATAAGAAAATGATATTAATCAGTCAAATGTAACATCATCCTAACCCCAGTCCTTTACTTGTATATTACAGCCTTCTACTACAAGGAGGAAATGTATAAAAAGTCCAAACATGCAGCCGGCAGCAGCAGCAGCAGGGAGCAGCTCAGCGGTCGATGGGTACAGCAAAGCAGACGGCGCTGTGAAGAGACTCTCTGCCATCAGCTGTGAGTGCCAGCAGTCAGCGGGCAGGAGGAGATGCTCTGCTTCCCCGGAGCTGGAGGGACAGGAGGGCAAAGAAAACGAAGTGAGGACGGGGCAGGAAGTGGACAGCTGGGACAAACACAAGACAGAGGACATGGATTGTGAGGAAAGCAGCAAAAACATTTTCCCAGATGACGACAGTAATCAGATTCTGCCCGTGGAGCAGTTCTTTGGAAATCTGGATGCTGTACAGGTGAGGCGATGTCTGTGGCTCAGGTTGGATTATGTTGCCTGAGAAATGTTGTTGTTGTTGTTGTAGGGGAATTTTTGCAACATTGATCTGCATTTAGGAGTGGCTGTCTTGAAAAAAGCGCAGACTAAACATAGATAAAGTATCACCCACATGTGCTGTCAACAAAATGTTAAATCAAAATCAGATATCCTTTATTTATCCTTTATGCCATTATATCATGTGTTTTTACTGTATTTATTCCTAAAAAGTCTTTTAATTTGTTTTGTAAAGCACTTTGAATTGTCGCGTACAGAAAAGTGCTATATAAAATAAACTTGCCTTTATTAGCCCACAGTGGGGAATTAAATAACGAGGCAGCACACGTTCATAAATCAAGTACCCATCATTTGCCCATTTCAGACTCTTTCAGCAATATTTTCTCAATTGTCTCTTTATATGTTCTTCTTATTCATGTAAAAACTAAATAAGAGAGGTCAAATCTAGATACCCCAAATGTTTTTAATCATCGAAATCGGAGGAATTAAGAAAACAAGGTGAATCCCAGCAAACAATTGGTACCAACAGAAGAAGAACAAGCTGGCATACGGACAAAAACAGCAGGAAATGTATTCATATATAGTGTAGCTCCCCGTGTGAGGCCCATCGTGTAGCAGCCATGAATGCGTTGCAGTAACAGGAAAGCGTATTGTAAATATTGAGCGTCTCTCCACTTCCTCATCCATCAACTCATGCTCAAAATACTGCCTATTGCAGAATGCGTCATCATTGCTGAAATCTTTGCTCATCATTAACAGCGCTAATGCTAATATTATTTGAAAAATAATAATACAATTATATATAAAACATTTTTACTTTCATTGTACATTTTATATTTTTACTTAACTTATGTTTGTATAATATTTATTATTTATTTGTATTATTGTTTTATAACCCTAACCCTATTTTGTCATATTTTACATATTTTATTTGAATCCGAAATGGAGAAACTGTCCCAAAACCAAATGTCTCCAAACGTCTGAAATCTGATTCAGCTGTATCAGTCACCATAAAAAAGTAATTTTGATATAACAAAAAAATATCAATATCAGTAATGTATTTAAAAACATGCAACATGGAGGCTCAATATACAGGCCATGACAAAAAAAACATAATACAAGATGGCAACAGATATAGCAGACTATATAGGACAGTATAGTGCAATTATTTATTATTTTCTAGTTAGAAATGCCTCTAATCAAAGGCATACGTAAACTGTAAAGCTCCCATAACCTGAATCAGTTGTTAAGTAACTGACATTGATTAAAAAGTAATGTCATATCTTATTTTTCTTCCTATTATACAGGATTTCCCTCAGAGACCGTCCGCGGCCCCTGGTCAACATGACAACGCAGGGAGACGAAGACGCCATTACTACGCACCCGAGAACAGCGATGAAGAGGAGGCAGGCGTGATCAGTGCACCGCGAGGGGACACTTAATGAAGAGTAACGGAACTGATGTCTCAAAGTGAGGCCTGAGGGACTCAAAAGCAGCTCTTTCAATTAGTGAAACGCTGTCTCACAGGAGGCAGGAATTTGCTGTAGCTCGATCTGCTGTTAGCCTACCATTGCTTACGAATTGTCCTTATATGTGAGTTTGCTTTTAAGTTACTTCCCGTACCCGCCATGCGCTGAAGAGATTCGTCACAACATAAAAACTTGAGCACTTCGCCAACAGCTTAAAAGACAGTTCTTGGTCATTTACAATTGTTGACTTGACAAACCGTCCAAACGCACACAAATGCTACATTGTTTTCAAACTTGTTCCCAAATATCTTGTCAGTTCATTTGATACTGTTTAAACAAAGCTGCAGGACAGGGATTATAACTGTGGAGAACATTTACAGCCGGCCGGCCCAGCACTTTATTTACACATTACATACTGCTTCATATAGTCAGTGAGATTAGCCGTGAGAGATGCCAAACAGTACTTCATTTAAAGGTCAAAGTGTCGATTTGTAGGAAAAGTCGTGCAAATCTACACGTTTTGGAAGAATACATGCGCCAAAGAGCTGTTTCATAGCGAAAGCTTTTAATATCACAGAGACATGGTTTAGAATGAATGTCATTGTTCACCAAGTGTCTAATGTGTCATCATCTATGTGTGCCCAGTTTGGGCTTTTTGGCAGCTGCTTCAACACATCTGTAAAATAACAAATGTAAATGATATCAATGCAGCTAAATATTTTCCCTGAGGAGGATCACATTTGCAAACATGACCGAATTCTACACAAAAATGCATTGTAAAAAAACAGAGTTTTATCAGAAATGTTTTTAGTCCGTTTAAAACGGAGGATATGTTAAACCTGAGTTTAAAAATGTAATCTAGTTTTTGAGGGTGCCAGTACTTGCACTCCTCACTCTTATGCCACTTACTGCCTGAGTGATAATCCATGCATTTTACATCAGTGCCAACACAGAGAACATAATAAATGTTTTTCATGATTTCAAAATCAGCGTGTAATTATTTTGTCTGACAAATGACTGCCAGTCTTATCAGTGTGATGCTTTATACCCTCAAAGTTCATCAAAAATGAAAACGCTTAAAAGATAAGAGTAAAAATGTTCACACCAAGCGCCTCTTCTTCTCTTTCACGTTCTGTTTAGCTTTGTTTGTGTCACTGGCTTCTCTAAAGATCTCCTTGGCGTCACAAAGCAGGTTGTGCGCTCCTTTCTTGTGGCACACGATGTGCACCAGCTTCAGGTTCTCCCTGGTGAACAGCAGGCCGTAGAAGTAGTTCAGGTTGATGTCGGAGCTCTTGTGATTCTGAAGAGCTTCCAGCAGGGCGGGAATGATCGTCCTCTTCTTCTCAATCCTGGACAAAAGACCAAAAAAAGTATAAATATTTGGCCGTAAAGTGGTGCGGCGACGACATATCTTTGTAGGCCAACACAAAAGTTAGTATCGCCTAAAAGCTAATGGAATCTTCTCCATTGGATATCAGAACATTGCAGAAACAACACAACCCAGTATAATCCATTTGCCACTTTTACAATAGTTGACATGCAAATTAAATCTTTGGAAATAAAAACCTAACTTCTGGCTGTTAGATAACTACATCAGGGTCACATGAGACTGATAAATGTAATGTCCTAGAACGAGGAATTTTCTAACCTTGTGGTTTGGACATACATGTTTTAGACATTTCAGGCCTCTTTTATTCACTGCACACAACAGTAAAAAAAAAAATTCTACTAGAACCTGTGGTCCAGGTTCCATGTGCTGAACACTATCCTGCTCTCTCTGCTGCCGTACGGGTTGATGGAGTGGAGAGACTGGCACACTTTCTGCTCATATGATCCCTGAAAAAGCAAAAGAGAAGAAGCAGATTCAGTGCTTTCAAATGTTTTTGTTAGTTTTGTAAAGAATTGATAGAAATGAATCCTATCCCTCTAATACCTGGCAGGTGAACCATCCTTCTCGAGTACAGAGCCGCTCCTTCTCGGTCCTGTCGAAGTAGCAGCCGTTGTTCTTTGCCGTCTTCAACATTTCGGACAGACTTTTTGACGTTTTCAGAAACTCTTCCCTGACTTTAGCCTTCTGTATTGTTTTGGTGGCCCCATGCACCTGAGTCACAGAACATCTATTTTGGATATTTCTATGGAATATGCCTTAAGAGCCATTAAAAGACTTAATAGAGTCTTTACCTCCTTCATGTAGCCTCGCATCCTGCCCTCACAGTTGAACTTCATGTAGGCCGACTTCGTCTTGAATCGAGCATCAACACCTGAAATGAAACCCCACATGAACACTTCTGCAAAAACAGTCTCCAACTAGCGCTGGTGTGCTCTCAAAATAGCAACAGCTGATAATAATGGTATTAAATCTTTTTTTTACTATGAGGCAATGCAAGATAATGTTTTCTTCAAGAATTCAACATATAAATCAAGTCATGTTTTATTTTGTGGGTGAGGTATTCCTTCAAAATGAGAAAGAGCATCTTCTTATAACATTTTTTCTTTCTTTTTTAAATAGTGGCAGACGTATGTAACCCATGAAGCCAGCAGCTCATGTATGTCTCCAGACTTTGTACCTTTGAACCATTCTTCATGCTCCTCCCTGCTCTCCAGCTCAGATCTGTCCTCCAGGTTGAGCAGCAGGTCGGTCAAGATTTTACGTCTTTGAGGAGACTTCTCATCAGACAGGAGCCCTCTTGCTGCTTCAATGAGGCCATCGGCATATCGGTCTGTCTTCAGTAACTGACCAATGTCACACACAACTGGAATTGAAACCACACGGGTCAGATAACAGACACTGTTTAGAGTTGAAGCATTTATCTGGATTGTGGGTCATTCCAGAATTGGAGGACATTTCATGTCCCCCATATAAAAAATCTAATAATCCATGCCCCAAAAGCTAAAACATGCACTTGTTGTGTTAAATATACTTGTCTTGAGACAAGATAAAGTTGTAGAAAAAGTGGTTTCAAAATATTATTTAAAATATGAAATAGCTCTCGAACACCCCCTAAAATGGCCCTTTTCTCTTGTCCCAGCTTCTTGGTGACCAACTTGCATGTCAAATATAACATTTAAAATAGGGATTTTATTTACTTCTTTTGGTATTATTCTATTGATTGTCTCTTGTAATGGCAAAATCAATTTGTTAAATCATAAACACATTTTAAATAACAGTAATTTTGCACAGAAGGTGTGCTACTACCATGGGTAGACCAAAACTAAGTCCTCTCTTTTATTTGTAATATATTTCCAATCTTGTCACTCTTGAAGGAGTGTGGCACTCATACAAACGCAACCCTGTTACTCACATTATGAGACTAAAACCAATTCATTTCAAATGTATCTTTCTTTAGTTAAATATCTAAGTGTGTCCATTCCTTGACAATAGCATTACATTGTGCAGCTAGCATTCATTCCTGAGGTAAAAGCTACAATTAGCATTGATTTGCAACCCTGTTACTATAATTAGAGTAACAGGGTTCATTCTTCATTGGAAAATATACATTTGATGCCTTAGCTGGGCAAATCCCTTTTTTTGATGGTTTATTATCTGTTTTTCCTAAATACATAACTAAAATAAAAGGTTCATTTTTCTAAAATGTTGGTGTCTAAATTGTCCTCCAATTCTGGAATGACCCTAAAGGTGATCCCCCTACCTCCGCTCCACGTCTGATCTCTGCAGAGGAGAACAAGTTCGGTGTGGTCCGGCAGAGTTTGGAAGAATTCCTCCGTCACTGTTGTCCCATCAGAATACAAACAGATATGTGCACCAGGAGATGGCAACTGGAAATGGCGTCAATGTATAAAAAAAGGGGGAAAAATACAATATATTTAGATTTAAGTGAAATGTAAGACGATGGTAAGATTTGTTTTCCCTTTTCTCCCACAAGAGGTTAAAGTCAAGTTAGTTAAAAAGAATAACCAAAGTGGTGTACAGACCAGAGCAAATAAAACAGGAATTAATTTCAGTTTTGTCTGTTAACAGTTTGTTTCCATTATTCAAAAGGGTTTCACTGGTGGAACTGTGACACCCATCTCTGGAGGAAAACAGTGAAAGCCTCTGGTGACAGAACAAGATGATCTGCATGTTTGTCTTTATAGTTCCCATGGTTCTCTTTAGACTAGATTGATAACAGTTGATTACATTTCAGTAGATGTTGTTCACAGAGCTATCAATGACACACAGTGTTTTCAGATGAAATATATCTATGTTACTGGAGGGCAGGCGGTGTCAGCTTGTCTGGAATGAAGATAACTATAAGGCTATTATCTGTGTAAAACACATTTCATATTCATATATTGAATTTGAAAGTAATAACATATTTCAAATTCTCTTTACTATGGAATGTCTACTGCTGTTTCATTTTTGCACTTGAATTACATGTAATTACACTTGTTTATGCACTGTAAATAGCTTTCTAACCAGTTGCTAGCTACCTCTCTCTTGCCTGTTTATTTGTTCCTGTGATGCCTAATCTGTGTGTGGATACAGTTGTGTCTAATATTATTTAGATAAACATATCGGGAACATGTTGTCTGCATGTAATGTGAAATGATTCCCCATATCTTCTTCAAGGTGAAGATGACCATGACCCTGGTTTGCACTAAACCCGCCCCTATCATGACAGGAAGTTAACCAACAATCTTAAATAACGTGCACAAACAATGCAATTATATTCCCAGCGCCCTCAAGCAGACATAAAGCTGCTTAAACACTTAATTATAACACTTTTATGTTTTTACTTTTCTTTTTTACCCATATCCTCCTCGCTGAAAATAAAACTCAACTGGTGGTAGAGCTGTTAAAAACAAATCAGAAGAAAACGCACGCGCTCACCTGTAATAACTTGCAGCCTTTTTTAAGCAACTCTTTCACATCTTTTGCTGCAACTCCGTACTTTTTATTTTCATTACGACTCCTTATTTTAACGGGTTTATTTTTCCCGAAGAGTCCAAACATTGCACTGCTGTTTTCAGTTTGTAACGTCCGCTTCCTTCTTCTTCCTCGCGAGGCTGACTACCCTGCGCGTGGTGTGCTGCCGCCCTCTAGTGTTGCCATAGTGTATTGATGGAGGAAATGTTAACCCAACAGTTGCTGTACATTTTCTGAGATACAATACTTGAGTAAATGCAGGCTGGTAAGATTACTGTTGCATGTGAAAGCACAATAGGCAATATGTTTCATGTTCATTTTCAAAATATCAAGAATATATTAATGAAGTTTAACTCTTCACATTTGCTTCCCCTTCCAGCTAGGGACATCTGATATCGTTAGCAGCGTTGTAGCGTTACAAATGCATGCAAACAAGTACTTCTGCAGTCTTGTCAGCCACCATTGCCCTACAATTCGTGTACTCAGACAAATCCAGCACAGAAAAATGCCCCACACCAAACAATGAGAAAAATGGTTCCCTTCTTACTGATGCCCTCAACCTTTTAAATCTTGACCTCTTGAGCGCTTTTCCTCTATGTTGAGCATGTAAATCCATAGAAGCATCATCCGTTCCTATAACAGAGATAAACTCAGCTGCAGGAATACAGTTTTATCAAATAATTTATCCACTGTCGCAGACACGCATAACGCAAATTAATCATCAGTGAACATTGTACTATGATCTACACATAATGTTGCTAAACTTTGCTAAGCCATTTTTGTTGGCTATCATTCACATTCACATAAATGTAGGTTGTATTACACTTTGCAAAACAATGGGCCACAGAACCTTTATACTGTAATTGGCTAACTTTTGTAATTTCAATGCAGTACTAAAAATAGTGCTGCTACATCTACTACGAATAATATTGTAAGAATGTGTTCAAGTTTAAAAAAAGAGTAAGTGCATCATTTGCGTTCTTTGATTTATAAAAACTAAATCTAAATAGCACTGGTGGAGGACTGTATGTATGGCATTTAGCAGTGGACATTACCATAGCAACAGATGCAGCCCGATGGGACATACCAAATGAAAGGTTAAGGATTAGAGGCGAGGATAGCCAAATACTTTTTAGACGTTAAGTTTCGGTGTTACACGCCTCGTTGCATAAGAACGTTTCTCGTATATTCAATATGCATTTTAAGTATGTTTACATTCACTCGCAGATAGTCTTAAATAAGTAGTTAACTATCTCGTCTAACCCTTCTGCTCTGAGTAGTTTAAACCAAATTCAATATGGCGGCAGCGGGTTTGAAAATCTTAACATGTAGAAAAATAACATTTGCATTTTTGACGCTACATGTGTTATTTTCCTATTAACTACAGACTATGGTCAAAACTGAAGAAACAACCACCATGGCTGCCGGCTGGAACGAAGTGTTTGAAAGAAGCCGGGTGGTTCCTCCGCCCTGCCAGACAGTCCGCCTGGCTGTGGAGAGCCACCTCACCGAGTCCCACGGCTTCCAGCTCAGCCTCAGCCGGCTCACTACTGCTCACCTCCCGCAGGTGATAGCTCAAAGCTAACGCTACATGTTCCCTATAGTTTCAGGATAAGTTATGTTCTTAGCAGAAATGTAGTGTTTTTTTTTAAACGAATGTACAGTCTGTGTAGTTTTTAATTTGCCGAACAAAGTCTGACTTTAAGCTGTCATTATTAAGCAGAAAAAGGCCCACATTATATCTCCCTTTAACGTATTTAATGGTACGTCACAGCGAATCAGAAGAATACTAGCAAAACCCCGTCCTAAAAGTTTTATAATTAAAGGTGACCTTGCATTTTTCCAACCGTTTAATAACGTTGACCACTACAAAACACCATTGTAAACATGCTATGTATCCTTTTGTAAATTCGGTAGGAGAGATAATACAAAAAAGCACCACTGCAGTTAATCATACTTTGTTTCAAGAACATAAGAAACACGTACATATTGAGTGATACGAATGTATGACTGTTTGCCAAGAGTGTAAGCCATCTGAAATCATGCATCAAACACAATTTTAGAATTACCTGTGACTTTTCTAATGTGGGTGTTTACTTTTCTTTTTTACTCATAGGAGAAGTCAGAGGGGGAACAAGATGTGACCTACCAGCTGCGAGTGACCCTTTTTGATAGAAACCATCAGCAATTCTTTGGGAAAACTTGGAAGAGCTCACCCCAGAAGATGAAAACTACCAAAATCTCCTTCAACGAGGTACCTGTACACACAGCTTTGATTGACTTGTATTTAGATCTGTAGGCTCTTCATTCAACCTTTCTCATATTTTATTAATGATTTATATAGAAAAATCAATTCCAATTCAAGCATAAATTACACAAATGAAGCACAAGCATGATTTAAAAAAACCAACACAAGAGCTTCTCCACTCAAGGCTTTAAATTAGCACTGATGATTGGACTGTGTTCTGCCGTCAGCTGAAACTGAAATTGATTACCAAAGAGTTTCAATTTCTCACCATTGCATGTTGACAAAGAGCCCATTTTATGTGAAGCAACATTTTACGAGTGTTGTAGATGACTTTTTAAGAAAGAACATTTTACAAATCTTTACTTTGCTTTGTGTTAGACATAATGAATAACAGATCAATAAGTACATATTTAAATGAAAATTGGTAAGTTGGCAACTTGGCATTATAGGTAAATAAACTGTATTTAAATAGCACATTTCTAGTCTTTTGTGACCACTCAAAGTGCTTTTCAGACTAATTCACCCATTCACACACATATCCATTCAGAGCCAGAGGCTGCCATACAAGGCAGTGTTTCCCCTAGGTTTACTGCTTTGGGAGGGTGCTGCCTGAGCGGGGGGGGGGGGGATATATTTTAAATCCTCTGGAGCAGAGAGAGGAGCTATGGATTATTGTTATTGATTAATGCATCAGTGTTTCTTAGGGTCATAAACACTAAACTCACAACTTAAAATGAAAACGTTTAGTTTATTTAACAAAAGAGCACATGTTCAATGTGAAAAGCGACAGTAGATATAGATTAGTTGCAATTTAGTGCTATATATATATATATAAAAAACACCTTGAATTTCAGGGGGGGCCCGGGGCTCCGTTGGCGGGGCGCAACGCCCCTCCAAGACAATGGTAGGGGTAACACTGCAAGGTACTCAAACACTGTTGGTCATGCCATTGGGAGAAATGTTGGTTTCAGAATCCTGTTTAAGGACACTTCAACATGTTGACTGCAGGTGTCAGGGATCAAACCAGCGACCCTCTGTTTAGTGCAGTGTTTCTCAAACTTTTTCATACCAAGGACCACTTAACCAATAAAAAAACAATCGCGGACCACCGAACTCCACAAATATCCAAAATCACATCGTTTTTCTAGAACAGATTACAAATCGCCTGAAAATGGTACAAACAAGTGGCAACATGTGTGATGATGAAGGTGTTGCGCTGGGCTATATCATGGAATCGAAAATGAAACTTTCTCGCTCCATTGTGGAGATATTCCCGTGAGAGTGTGGAAAACTTAAATACATTTATTTATTTCAAATGTGACATTTTACCAATATACTCACGGACCACCAGTGGACCGCGGACCACACTTTGAGAGGCACTGGTTTAGTGGAAGACCAATCCACCTCCAGAAATGTCAACTGTCAAAAGTCCTGCTCAGTATTTCTTCAATTTTCTCACATATTTTTAAACATATAGTTAAGTTATCAAGACTGTTTGTTTCTGAGTTGCAGGACTCCAACAATCAAAGTGAAAGCTTTGTGTAAAAACCGATGTGTTAGTAGTATTACTGCACCTATTAGTATTACTTCTAGTACTTGTGCTATAGTGGATGTTAATGAAAACATCGGAGTGAATTAACTGTGAATGCTAGCAGACTTGCATTGAGGAAGCTTTTTTTGGTGTATTTTGCTATTTTAACTCAGTTTCACTCTCCCGCCGAACAGATGTGAACAAAAAGATTTGATAGATTAGCAATCAGCATGTCCCAGGTACAATAATTCAGCATCTAATGGTTTCCAAAGCAGTAATTCTGACTTCTTTTAGGCGCTCACAGATGCTGCCTCTTTAGTCGTCTGCTCATCCACACAAGTGAACAAACACTGCTGTCAGCTCACCGCCATTATAGGTTTAACATTCACCATCGACAGGTTCAGCTGCCCCGCTAAGATCCAGCGCCAGTTTGTTAACAGCAAATACATAAAACCTGTGAGAAGCCCAGTGAATTTTAAATAGACCATTTGACGTAACTGCATACATCCATCAGCCTCAACATCACTGCTGAGTTGTGTAGAGACTTTCACCATAGGGTTACTTTTGTCCGTTTTACAAGACAATTCATTTTTTTATCATTGAGTCTTGAGTATCACGCTGGCTGCAGTTTCTTTGTAGGTCTTCTGTGTACTGCCAGGGAATACGTCAGTAATAGGCTCCACATATCAACACATTTATACAATGACAGTAATTATTCTTCCGTATTTAATTCTAAATTCAGTTTTATCTTATTTTATCCAACATATACATTATTTACTTATTCTTGCATTTTACTTGAATCATTGAATCAATTGCCACATTTTATTGCACAATTTGACTTTCTTATTCCCTTTTCTTTTTCTCTTAAGTATATCATATACTACGCTGCTAGCCTAGTACTTAGGATTTTCATTGCCAACAACTACACTAGCATTCTTACAAGACAAAACAAAGCTTTGAATCTTGGAATTTAGAAAGTGCATTTAGCTGGTGTGCTGAGGATTTCTCGAAACAACTTGGAGAAAGTTTCTTCTCAGCTGACAACTGAGCCTGAAGCTCAGTTCCTCCTGTGAAGTGGTTGTGATTTAAGTTCTGTTTCTTCATGTCATCACTTCGCACGCCCTGCTAGTATTTGTAAGCAGATTGTATTACTGAAAGCAGGGTTTTTGGGCCACATTATCAGTATAAACAGAAAACTTCCAGCCATTAAAACATCAGATTATCCTGGTTTAGGACATACACTTGGTTCAATTCCATGTAGGGATGGACAATATATCAATATTATTTCCATATTGTGATATAAGACTATATAGAGGATTATTCATCAAAAATCTCATTGTGAGATTATGCTAATTTTCAGGTTTCATATTTGTATTTTCTTCCTCTGCCTTCAAAAAGCTCTTTATTTTTCTCATACTGCCTGTGCTGCAGCAACCTTTTTCCACCCTCTATCTGAAACCAGAGCCGAGTCTGCTCTGATTGGTTAGCTGACTAGCCCCGTTGTGTTTGGTCAACCGCAGATGACCTACAGCAGGGATGGGCAAATGGCGGACCGCGGGCTGCATGAGACCCGCGGTCCGCCATTTGCGGCCCTCGGATCAATTTAGAAACAACGTAGTTTATAAAAAAAAAAAAATATATATATATATTTTTTAACGTATATAGTACTGATACTACGTGATTTCGTTCGGTAGCCAAATACCGCGAAATAATCTGTGACGTGTTTGTGTGTATTGTTTGTTTCCCGGGGAAAACACTCACAAGAAACACCGGCTGTTGTTATGCCTGCTGTGACGTTAAATTACTCCGTTCTCCACTTGTAATTATGCCGTTACAAGCTTCAAAGTTCTATTTATCATGAATTTGAATTTGGCAAAACAAGTTTAATATTCTAAAAGTCAAGACTGTATTTATTTGAAATCAGATGAAAACAAACTGTAACGAACCCCGAAAAACTATTTTTTTTACACAAATCCACTTTTATTTTGAGATGAGCCGTTGCGACTTCTGACTGATTTCGATAGAGCGGGTAACGTATGAACACAGCCCTATGAGAAAGATATTTGAGGCAAATCGTGTTTTCCAAGAATTTGAATTTGGCAAAATGAGAGAGTGGGAGAAAGAGTATCTTTTCACTGAATTCAGGGGTAAACCACAATGTTTAATATGTTTGCAGACCGTTGCTGTCATGAAAGTAAGCAACTTGAGCCACCACTAAAACACTTCACACAAGGACAAATATGACAGGTACACCGGGGCCGCCAGAACAGCTATCCTAGCGGACCTGAAAGGGAAAGTACAAAAACAACAGTGCTTTTTCACCCAGGTCACAAGTGTCCAAGAATCAAGTCTGAAAGCATCATATGCTGTCTCACTCCAGCTTGCCAAAGCAAAGAAGCCACTATCAGAAGGAGAGTTGGTGAAAACATGCGCGATTGACATGGCTAACGCCTTTGGAGATGAAAAAATGGCTAAACATTTTTGAAACGGTGTCCCTCTCCCGACGCACAGTGACTCACAGGATTTTTGACATTCAAAGTCATGTGGAGGGAAAGCTGAAACAAATCATGTCTGACTGTTAATACTTTTCGTTAGCGTTAGATGAGAGTACAGACGTTACCAATGTTAGCCAGCTACTGGTGTACGCCAGATCAATAAATGCGTCATTTGATGTACACGAGGAACTATTACAACTTGTACCACTGCACGGCACAACAAAGGGATCGGACATTTTCGACGCAGTGAAGGGTGTTGTCAGCGAATATGGTGGATCTGACTTCATGTTTGTCATGTTACTGTGTAATCTTAATGCACACTTTCCAATAGTTTAAAAGTTGTATTCCACTGTTAAATAACCTGTTCAATACAAACATGCCACTTGTAAAAATTAAATAACATTTCAGTGAACTGATGTTTGTTTTGTGAGCTTATTAGAGGATGTTCCCTTAAAGATCGAAACATATCAATGAAGATGTCAGACTTAGTATATTTGTTAATAATTACAATACATGGATTTTGTGTTTTTGTGTGTTCCAAGTGAATCTGCAGCCCCCTGGTGGCCAGTACATACATTATTTGGCCCCCACCATCATCAAAGTTGCCCATCCCTGACCTACAGGAACAGCCTATCAGGTGCAATGTGTTGAAGTGCTAGCCAATAGAAGAGGAAGTCTTACGTATGTGATTTATTTCATAAAATAATATATACAGTTATTCTTGCAATATCGTTCCAATATCAATATTAAGGTATTTGGTCACAATTATCATGACATTTTATATAATCCATATCGCCCAGCCTTAATTCCACGTACTTCCTGTAGTATTTATTGTAAGTTATTATCCCCTTTCCTTTTGGCCCTAGTTGTATTTCTGCTGTGGTCGAAGCAAGAATCACAGTGCATGTTGGTATTGAAATAGCTCTATACTTTTTCTCTATGAGTACATGAGAATGAAGTTGGCCTGCTGTTTCAGACAA